AAGTTAATGTGTGGAGATTTAGTCTTATTTAATTTTATTCGCCATTTTCTGGTCCAGTTATGTATTTTATTTACTGATAGTTGCAACTTATCAGTCGCTTCTTTACTAGTGTCTCCTATCGTTAGTATGGCTGTATTATCCGCGAAGGTGGCAATAGTATTTTGTTCTAGCTCTGGAATGTCACACGTATATAATAGGTACAGGACTGGACCTAAGACACTTCCTTGTGGCACACCAGCTTTGATCTCTCTTAAGTCGGTGTACAATTCTTCTTGTTTTACTCTAAAATATCTATTCGTAATGCATGATTTCAAGATTTCTGAATACTGCTTAGGCATGAACGTTCTTAGTTTATAGTTTAAACCGTCATGCCAGACTTTATCAAACGCCTGTGCTACATCCAAGAAGATTGTAGAGCAGACTTTATTTTCTTCTAATGTTTTTTCTATTATATTCGTTATTCTGTGAACTTGATCTATAGTGGAATGTTGATTTCTGAAACCAAATTGATGATTAGGTATAAGATTTTTTCTTTCTATTATTGGTTTTAATCTTTTCAATAGAAGTTTTTCAAATAGTTTTGACATCACCGGAAGGAGTGATATAGGTCGATAGGATGTCACTTCATTAGGAGATTTACCTGGTTTGGCGATCATAATTACTTCGGCTACTTTCCAGAGTCTGGGAACATATCTCAATCTAAAAAGAGCATTTATTAGGTGTGTGAGCTTAACTATGGCTTTTCTTGGTAGATTTTTTAATAATTCTTCTGTTGTGAGATCATATCCTAGAGCTTTTTTAGGATTTATATTCTCTTTTATCTCTCTTGATGCTTCTCTAGGTGATGTCAACGTTATTCTTTCGTCAGTTTGGAATGGTTCTTCCCATCTCAGTTCTTCACCATCATTTTCGTTTTTTCGTTGGGTTTGAACGTGCTTTCTAAATGATCTGCAAATCGTTCTGCTTTCTCTTCGTTACTTCTAGCCCAGTTGCCGTTTTTTAACTTGATAGGAGGGGAATGAATAATTGATCTGTTCATTCTTTTTGTTGCCTTCCATAAAGAATAATCTGTGTTCTGGTCAGCTGTTAAATTCCTTAAAAAATAATTAATTGTTGAATTTTTTATATTCTGTATCTCCCTTTTAAGTTTTTGTGTAGCATTATTTAGACTAGTTGTGTCTCGTGGAGCTCTGTATTGCTGCCATTTTTTTCTTAACTTCCTTTTTTCTACTATGAGTTCTCTGATTTCTTTTGGATAGTTGTTCCCTTTTATTCTAGAAGTTGTTGTGGGAGTATTTTCCCAAGCTGACTGTTGGATATTTTTTTATAAAAACTTCTAATTCGTCATCAAGTTGCCTCGTGTTTCTCAATGGCACAGCAAGATTAATTTTGTGTTCAAGGTTCATTTTGAAGCTCTCCCAGTCAGTTTTTTTTTATTAGTCAATATTGGATTGAACCCTATTTTATGTACTTTATCACTCATAGTTAAAATTGTCGGTGAGTGATCAGAGTTCATGTCCCAGCCGTTATTGATATCCAGATAGTTAGCTGAGAGATTTTTGTAAATAAAGAAATCTATCAGGTCTGGAATTTTGTTCCTATTTAGTTTAAATATATAAGTGAAAGACGTAGAAATAAAACCGTATATAGGGTAGTATAAATTACCTCTTCCGGAATGAAATAAAATTAAAAAAAAGTATTTTGAATCGTTACAGTTGTTTCTAAAAGAACAGTTCATTCTACATAAAAAGTTCTAATAAATATTTTTGTTCAAAATTATCTCAGCGGGCCAAATGGGGTTCTATCTCTATTCGATACGCAAATTGAATGGTCAAATCAAGCCAAATATCTAGGCGTAATGTTGGACAAAAAGCTAACCTTCACAGAACAGGTGAAACAAACGGTCCAGAAAGCTAAAATAATTAGAAGTTAACTCTTATCATTACTAGATCGGAAGAGTAAACTGAAATTTTGAAAAAAAGATTAGGATCGCAAACTGTATAATTTTACCAACACTAACATACACCGCGGCCTCATAGACACATTTGTAAATCGAACAGAAACAAAATATAAATACAAATAGTCCAGAACCATATGATCAAAGAGGCTCTGAATATATCTAAGTAAGTTCCATTATGGTACGTATTTATTGACTCAGAACAAAAGAGAATCCTAATAACAATAGACGAAAAAGCACAGGTGATTTTCTACAATCTCAGGAATCATCCAAGTAGACTATTAAGAAAGTTGACAGACTATGACGAAAATCAAAGGACATTACATAGGCTGCCTAGATAGCAGCTAGCTGGATATAGAGAAGACACAGAAGAACAGTGAAAAAATCATAGTCATGCACAAGTCGAATAAACGCAGTAACAGAAGACCCAAAAAATACCGTATTCTTCTATTTTATTTAGTTTATTTAGTTATTTTTATTATTAATACTTATAACTTTCTGTTACAGCAGCAATGCAGCGCCAATACAATACAAAAAAGTAGAGTGAATACTGATCAACAGCGCAGACAGAAAAGCCGTTCAGGTAAAAAAACCCTTCAGATAGATCAAAAGGACCATGTTCCTGGAACTTGCACATCGAGTTCACGTACCGACAAACGTGGTTTTAACGGCCAGACCCTTTGAGCGCTCAGCGAAAGAGGATAACATAAAATATTTTGTCAATTAGGAGGCTGAGTGACCGGGCACATACAATCCGGGTGGGGAGTCACCAACTAAGATCGGTAACTAACCGTCCGAAACACATATTTTGGAACACAAGACCAAAGTCATGTAAAAATGAACTTCAGTCATTCATAGGGAGAAAAGCTCTTCTAGCTACCTCTAAAATAAAGTTGCTTATAAACATAAACGGTAGCCTGGGTACCGGGGCACTAGGGTCATAAGGGCAATGAAAAAGCAGATGAAATGGCCAAACAAGGCTCATCAATGCCATTCATTGGACCGGAACCCTTCTGCAGCGTTGCAAAGTCAGTAACAAGAACTGCTACGAGGAAGTTGGTAGCTCACAAATCTCTGGAATGGTAGAGGAATTCATCAGGACAAAGACAGTCGTAACAGTTCATTACAGAACATTTGCCAAAATTTACGGCAGACCTAATAAGCAAAGACAGGAAAATAATCAAAGCCATAGTAGGTTTTCTAACAGGGCACTGTATGCTGAATAGGCACTTGAAGCTGATGGGATTATCAGATGATGATCTGTGCAGATTCTGTCACCTGGAAGAAGAAACAGCAGAGCAGATTTTATGTCAGTGTGACAGTCTGGCAAATGTTCGGTTCTTTGCATTAGGAAAAGAAAATCCACCGGCAACTAGCTACATGGAAGGTAGAGTCTCGAAGCTACTAGACTTTATAAGAAGGGTCAGGCTAGAGAATGTTATCTGGAACTAGAGGACCACAATAGATCTGTAAAGGTCTCAATGAAATAGGCCGAAAGGCCACCTCTCTTAATCTAATCTAATCTAACCACATAAAGTAAAATAGAAGAAATGCCATTACTTAAGGCATCCAAATTAACTTTCAATACAGCCTCCTTATTCGTTATGTCCTATGATTGGGGAGGAGTGGTTGCTTATAGCTTAAGGGTCAAATAGGTACTATTCAATTACGGAGTGTGACCGCTTTGATCTTCAGACATGTGGGTCCCACTCTTTCATTGGAACACACATGTCACTCGGAGCTGAGATTCTACAAAATTTGTTGTGTATGTGTGCTAAATTTCTTGTTTAAAACATTTTTTTCTACATTGCATATATTCTTAAAAAATCGATTTCTTATGTTTATTGTTTTAGGAAGAAGCCTAGTGGTGGGAGTGGCAAATTTTTTGCATTTTTTGGGTCCAAAATTGACATTCTTAGCAAAATTCAGCTTGTTGGTCTTGTTTTTAGAGATCAAATCTCTAACGATTCGATTACAAAAAAAAATCGGGTGTGGCAGTCCAGTGGGACTGTCGGTAGAAGTTATACTTCTATACACGTGTTCGCCGTTACAAATTTATATGGGAGTCAATCTGCACACTTATTACATATGTGATGCTATAGGTAAGAGAGAGCAGAAAGAGAAAAAGAATTAGGTGTATAGGTATATGGTGCATCGTTTGATGTCTATAAACATTTGACCTGTAATAGGAGTATAGTAAATGAAGGATTTAATCAATATTATAACGAAAATATATATATTGTAATTTTTATATATGTTTAAAAGAAGTTGAATGCAAAAGAAATTTTTTACACATACTCTGCAGTAAAATTTATCGTTTATTTTGTTATTGATATAAAAACACAATACAATACAATGCAACATAATTCAATATAATAATACAATACAAATTAAAATGCAATATTGATAAGTATTTAAAAATGACAATATACATCACTTACGCATATGTTTAATTTACCATGATAATAATATTATTAAAAAAATAATATTAATAAATATTACATATATTTACAAAAGGAACAGTTTTATTCTCGAGAAAAAAAGAGATATAGGTAAGAGAGGGATTCTGTCTCTCTCTTACCTATATCTTACATATGTAATGATTTTGCCGATTTACTCTTGTACAAATTGCCAACGTCGAACGCGCGTATAGAAGTATAACTTCAAAAAATGTTTGTGGAAGATAAAACTAAAAACCAACAACTCGAATTATGTTGTAAATTTTCATTTTATTTTAAAATTTAGCTTTTTTACGTATATTACATATATTTAATGAGATTAGCGTGGGGCTTTTAAATATTTCAAAATTGGTTAAAGTTTCTGAATTAATATTATAACTTTTGTAATGCTAAGTTACTCAAAGTTATAAACTTTTGTAAATGCCATTTTTATTTTCTTGATTTCCCGGGATTATATTAAACTCATTTTCAACTTCACTATGGAAAAATTCCATACTATGTAATAACTATTAGATATTAAACAGCACTTAAACAATAGATAATTACGTTTTTAGCTTGACATATTTATATAATGAAGTTCTTACCGGGAAATCGTCTCTTGCGTGAGCACCTCTGGATTCCTTTCTTTGTTCCATAGCGTAAATTGCTTGTAGGGCATTTATGAATAAATTCTGAAGTTCCAATGCTTCTACCAAATCTGTGTTCCATATCATTCCTTTATCTTTTACCTAAAATAAGTTGTATACGAATTGTAGAGTTTTCGAGTTATAAAACGCTTCATTTTAAGAATAACACACATTATAAGTATTTGAGTATTTGAGATGAAAAATTTAATGTAACTACATTGGATAATGTAAAAAAAGCAATGAACAGATCGGTCAAATTTACCCTTATAAGAAGAATACAACGAAAAAATGCAATTTACTAGTAAATTAATTATAACGATTTAGAACTATATTTTTTTTTATTTTAATTCTATTATAATAATACGAAGACAAACTCAAAATAAAAAATAGAGAAATAAAACATGACATCTTTAAGTAAATATTAAAAAAAAGAGAGAGAATCTGAAAAAAATGAGATCTGACATTTTTCTTTAAAAAATCAGTAGGAAAAGTTAGGACACAAAACAACTTTAAGTATTTTTTTTTGGAAAACAAATACGAACTTTTAAATGCTTTTCATTTATATAAAAGTAGTAAAAACGTATAACTAAAAACAGACTTATTTGATGACTTACAAGTTATTGTTAATATGAAAATATTTAGAAGAAATACATTTTTTTTAATAAACAGAAAAATCCTAGTTTTAATAAAGGCTTATTAAAGAGTTTTAATAAAGGTTTATTATAGTCCATTTCCATCATATTGATAGCAAATTATGTATGCAAATCCCTAGACTGTTGATACGGGTGACTCAATGAAAAATAGATATTTGTCAACAAGTTCACAGAAGTATATAGGAAAACAATTTTAAATTGAGTATGACCACCAGGTATAAAGGTTGAAGCAGAATAGAATACAATAGTTGTTAGGGTTACTAATCCCTAAATAAGGTTGCCAGGGTCGGAGTGATGGAGGTTAACAGGTACTAATGAATTTGCAAGAAATGTAAGATGTTTATTTTCTTAGTTATATATAAAATAATTTGTGGCCGTAACAGGGGCCGATTTGTAAAAAAAAATGAATATTATTTTAATCAAATTCCGTTTCAGATTCACTGCTTTCTTCAGAATCTAAGGAATCTTCAACTCCAATGTTAATTATTACCGGTTCCAGCATTGCATTAGTCATATTATCCAAATTCCACATTTTATTTTCTTCCTTGTGAGCATGACTTACAGCATTTTTTCAATTTTCTGGAGTTATTTTTGATAAGGAATGTTCTAATAATTGTTGTAAGTCTTCTAATTTAAAAGTTTTGTTGTTGCGTCCGACTTCACCATTTACTTAAGACCATATATTTTCTATCGGATTCAGATCACAGTGATATGTGGGTAAACGTAAAATAATTACATCACTTAATGCCATTTCATCAATTATATATATTTTTATAAGCTGCTTTATGTTGCCTTACAATAGGTAATAATTCCTTTTTTGTCGAATTCTCCTTGTACTCAATTGCGTGTTTATCAAACCATTCGATTATCTCGCCTTTTTTCCATGCCGTTGTTGGCAATTTTTCTACTAGTCTTGAATGGTAACTAGCATTATCCATGACTATGACAGAATTTTTTAAAATTAAATCCAACATTTGCTCAAAATATTCTTCAAAAACGTCAGCAGTCATTTCCTCGCGGTAATCTTTGGTTGATTTTGAGGCAAAACTTAATAATTCACCATTGACAAAACCGTATTCGTTTCCAATATGGGTTATCATGAGTCTGCATCCTTTTCCAACAGGAATATTGTTTATTCCAGTAGATACACCTTCGATGAATGCCTGACGGGAGCTTTTCACATTTGTATCATATGGTATGGTACATATGGTACAGTATGACCCTCATTTAGCCAAGTCTCGTCCAAATAAAAAATTGTTTTCCCTTCTTCTCGGTACTTTTTAATTGTTCTTAGATAATCTCGTCTCCAACATACAATGTAATCTTTTTCAATTAAGACGGATTTTCTTCTATTCTTTTGTCAACGAAATCCCATCTCTCTCAATAGTCCCCATAATTTCTGGTTGCTTATGATTGGTAACTCTTCGTTTTCTCTAATTAATGTTTGGATTTTGTCCAATGTTGGAAATTCTTTGTTAAAAAAAATGAGTGGACGCTGCGTCTTATCCTGTTTTTATGTATTTCTTTAATTTCCAAGGGTTTACTCCCTCCACTCTTCTTGGGAGATAAAACAGTTCCTCCTTTTCTTTCTTTTAGGAATCTATAAATTGTTGCCTCTCCAACCCCTGTCAAATTTGAACACATGTTAACGATTTCACGAACATTACTTAAGGGGCGTTGATGTACAAGTGCATCGTGTACATTTAATATTATATTTTTCTCTCTTAGACTGAAGGCACCTTTAAAACTACACTTAATCGGGATAAAACCTGTTGTCGACGTCATTTTTAAACGCAAATAACAAAATATCGACATCACAAACGTAGGTAGGTAAGACATGAACAATGTACATCTACAAACTAAATGGAAGATGCAAACAATTTCTAATTTATATTATTGGCATAAGCTGTAATGTGACATAAAAACTACTTAAACTCTTATTAGTGAAACCTTATCAGTAATACCAGGTATTCGTTCAAAGAAGGTATTCTTTTTGTGTCAGGCGATAACTTGTATAGATAACAATAATCACCTTTAAATTACTGTTTACATTAATTTATTTCGTGAAACATTGAATTCTCTCGTTAATCACCCGTGTATAATTAACAATAATCGTGTGGCATATATACCGACGTTTTTTACGCACAAAAAAGGTATAGTGAGATTAGTGGACACTTATTTCACAGAAGATTTTTTAAAATATAATGAATTGTTGACGGCATCTTAAAATATTAATTTTTTTATTTATTTCAAAAGAAGTATAGGGTGACGCCTATGGTTTTTTGACCTGTTGAGGATTTGCATACATAATGTGTTTGTTTGCTTCCTTTGCTAAATGCTTTTTATTCTAATTACTCGAAATTCACCTATTGATTACCGTAACACTTATGATTTTATGTAGTCTGAAAGGTCTTAAATACATAAAACCGAAGTCTGGCAATGCCTAATTGTCTCAATAAATATTTTAATACTACCTATTTTCCACCACATTTCATTTCATTTCAATTACCAAAAAAAGCCTTGATAAAGTATCTCCAGACTTTACTACCTTAAAATCTGTCATTTATTTAGTTTTTGCACGTGCAATTTACATTTCGTCTTACCTTGATACTGTCTAATTCACAATAGAGCTCAGATACTCGCTTGCATCCTTCTTCCAAAAGTTCCTGCGTTCTAAAGACGCCCGCGTGCTTCTGCATCGTCCTCTGAAGTTTCAGCCGCAACTCTCCCACTGTTTGCTTTCCATCCGCCTTCCGCGTTCTATCGAAATTTTCTAATGATCTCTGACCCAGACTCTAAAACCAAACAAAACAAAACTGAAGGAATTTCATTTTATCTCGATACATCCAACTTCCAATAACTCACGTGAAGAAAATTAATTGTTGAAGATCCAATAGAAATTTATATTGGTATTAAAGTTCCGCTTCTGGTACAAATATACATTGTAGCTGCCAGGAAATACCATAAATAAATAATTACCTAATTATAAGTTTGTCTTGGGTGTAAAATAATAAAATACTGTACATTATAAGTAAATTAAGTTGTTGAAAAATAATCGACGATTTCCGTGATGAAAATTCATTCAATAAATAAAATCTTTTAACTACAGTTTACTATATTTTCTGTCAATTTCATAAAGAGTTGAAATATTGGTAATATATTATTGTTTCTTAATAAAGTGAAGACTTCGTCACTTTATTAAGAAATGCTCTTATTTACTATTTTTATCATAAATTAACCAGAATTTCAGTATAAAAATACGTTAATTTAAATATTTAGGTGGTCAGATAGCCAAGCGGCTGGGCGGCTGGATTCTCATTCGCTTCACTGCAAGTGGTTCAGCGAATGTGAGTTCGATCCCCAGCTCGGTGTATAGAAAACAAAAAGGCTAACGCAGCAGTTTAAAATTCTAAATGAATCTACGGCTTAGACTAGAATATGCTGGTGTCTGATCGGCCTATGGTGGAGCAGTACGGCAAGAGATAAGGGCTTGCGTCTCGGTGATACTCCTCCATAGAACCCTACCAGGCCCTAAAATATTTTTTTTTAAATAAGTTTATTTTAAACTCATATTATGGCTAATTTTTAATAGGAACAGTAAATAATATTAAAATGCCACAATAAAATAGCTTCAAGCCAATCCTGAGAATCATAGCAAGTAAAATTCATAATTTGGTTCCTGAAAAATTTTTTCTTCCAAATTGTACTTTTTTGGTTATACTTGACAAAGTTATAACGTCATCGACGTTTCTTTTAATAGGATACTCTATATTTAATTCAAGAAAAGAATAGTTTTCAATTCATCAAAGCCGTAGCAAAGCTCTTGTTGAAATTTGTAAATCTTTTCATATTTCTTATAGCTCAAAAAGACAGAAAACGACAATTCTTCTCGTTTAAGACTATCATAATAGGTAGGTCTTTTGCAGTTTTCACTAAAATAGTGAAAATAGCAGGACACATTCGGTGGCTTTCCGTATTTGAGTTTGTATCTACCCGGCTATCTGAAGACGTAGTACAGAAATAACGTTATAACAGTCTATTGATACCAATTTATACAGAGAAAGTTTGACGAATTATGTGTAGGTACCTCCAGGGGTGACATTATATAAAAATAAAACGAAAAATAATTATATACTCACAAACAACATCTATAAATTTTTTATACATAAAAAACATAGTCAAAGAAATACTTAAGTAAAAAACTAATACTAATACTAATAACAACATTTCAAACTACACTCTATTTGCAATAATCGCATAAAAAACTTTTGTAATTATCGTAACCACTACATTCTTTATGCGCTCATCTACGCAAACTTTGCGTCTATACTACATTTTTGATTTACCATATTCACCACAAAACATACACTCTTCTTCTATGTCGCTGTTGGGATCATCCGAACTATAATCGTTGCAAACGTTCATTTCATCGTGGGATGAAGCGCTTGAAGAACTATCATCAAACTTGACTTTTCTCGTGACCCTTTTTTTCTTACTTACTGATGTTTTTTATAATTAATGAAAGTTTTTGGTTTTCTTTCTTTTGTAATTTTCTATTTTCTTTCTGGGTCTGTTTTATTTTTTCTGGCATTTAAAATCTTTGAATTGTCTACCCCACTTTTTTAATTTATTTTTAGTCACTATGCACAACGGTATTATTTCTCAATAAATATATATCTCCTTGTCTCTTATTTAGATTTGTAAGATCCAATTTTGATGATGAAGAAGTGATATCTGCCAGAGCTTCGTTGGCTTTTGATGTAGTTTAAATAGCAACAGTTTCATTTATTTCCAAGACTGCATCTTTTGAAGTCACTTAATTTGTATCTGAGGTAGAGGGAGTAACATCAGATTAAGAAAGTTGTAGTTCGATAGCGGGAATATTAGAAAGGGTGAAAGACATGAAATCCTTATACGTGAAAATATTTGGTCTATATGGAACAATACGACTTACTTCAAAGCCCTTTTAACTTTCTCCATGGCAGTTACATGAAGGAATTCGCGATTGAAAATTTCAGATACATCAGTTGGTGTTATTTTCTGGTGAACATTTCATCTCATATAGAGTCAAAAAAATGTTGTAGCTTTTGAGGCATGTGACATGTGTAACGATACTGCTGTGATTATTAAGCAACAGCAATGTTGAGTGTTTATTAAAATGCTTACGCCACCCTTCTTAAAAAATTCTTGTCTGTTTATCGAAGAATTCATTTACGGCATTTTGTACTTTTTCACCCAACTGAAAAGGATAACCTTTAATTGCCTTTTTCAGTTGTCCAAAGATGTCAAAATTGCAAGGTGATAAATCTGAACTACAGGGTGGATGCTCTAATATCCTCCATTGCTTTCATTGTAAATTTTCTTTTCCTAGTTTGCAACATGAGGCCGAGCATTGCCGTGTAGAAGAATGACTTGAATACGTGAGAGCTCCCCTGAATATTTTCGTCTTATTGCTTGATAGCAACCCTATAAGTGGAAGTCTTAATGCCCGGAACATTCACTAATGGATATATTACTAAAACTTTAGTTTTTCAGATCAAAATTACTACATTACTTCAGTTGCCACCATTCTATTTATTAAAATCTGATTAAACTTAGAGATTCTACCTCAATCCCTTGGAGATTCTTAAACTCGAACAACTTTCCGATTAATATAACAAGTTAATATAGCAAATATTTAATAATACGTAACTCATCTATGTTGTATTATATTTGTCCCTCACTCCACCATTTTAATGCGAATTGAGATTCATTTTGTAAAATTAGATGCAGGTCTAATGTTTTAACGGCCCTCCTTTATTCAGGCATGCGACCGGCTGCAGCGACGATAAAGATTTCTTATTTGCTTACTGAGTTACCCTCATCACCATTACAGGCAAAGTTATATCCCAAGTTTTCTCTCGCAATTAATTTGGAGCAAAGACAAAAGGTAGCAGTATAAAAACAAAACTTATTTGGCCAAATCGTAAAAAGGCTAAATGGTTAGACGAGTAAAAATTGATTTTCTCATATATATTATTACCTTAGGTGTAGGAACACTTAAAACACTTACGTTATGTGTAAGTATGAAAAAGATAGCCTGACATAAGTTATACTAAAATTGTCAAACTGATGTTTTACATTCCCTATGTAGTTTATTAAAATACCGAAACAAAAGGATAATCCGAATCAGTAACTACTTGATAAAATTATGTATCTATTTTTACTCTGATACTCGTATTCTAACTCTATCAAATTGTTTTATGGTTTTAATACTTGAAGCAGTGGTTCTAAAACTTTTTTAGTCGCGGCACTCTTATTTCGAGACACATCAACCCTTGAAGCGATTTGGGAAACGACAAAAAATGAAAAAAATACAATTCTACGGCTCATTTGATTTCAATATTAACGTTATTTATTTCAGATCAATAAAATACATGTTATTTGATATTCAAACATCCATACTTAATGTGATGAATGAAGCTGTTTCGATGATGTCTTTATCATATTCTTTATAATTATGGGAATAATTGATGGATTCGACCGTTACTTGATGGAAATTCATTTTATGTAACAATAAAACACTGAAAACTTCGTTTTCAAACTTCCAAAAAATTTATTTTAAATATTATCACTACAGCTGTTTCGGCTGATTGCCTTTCTCAAGTGATCTATTTTGGCTTGGGTCTACAAATTTATAGTCTCTAATGAAATAGGTTGAGGAGGGGAGAACTGTTTGTCTCAAGTTGGTCATTCAGAATTATATCTGTGTTTTTTAATTTGTTGATTTCCATAGATTCTAACAAAGATAGCTTAAGGCCTTTATTTTAAATGTGAAGAATTTTAAATTTGTCATTAAAAGAATGATTGTGATCTAGAAGGCGAAGTGCGTATGTCGAATCTGTTTTTCTATTCTTGAAAGTCCTTTTATGTTCTGCTATTCGTTTATCAAAGTTTCTACCAGTTTGACCGATGTAAGTTTTTGGGCAGTCGTCACATTGAAGTTTGTACACACCACTATTTAAGTGTTTTTTATTTTGGCTCTTGTTATTTTTAATATATTTGCCTAGGTTGTTATTTGTTCGGAAAGCTGGTGTTATTCCTTTCTTTTTTATGTGTTTGGCAATTTTTGTTGTTATTTTGCCTGTATATGTAATCGAGCAGAAGGTACTGGGTTTTTTCTCTGGTGGTGGAAATACTAATTTCAGGGCTTTCTTATGTAGTTTTTGATTTAACATTTTATTAATTGTTTGTTCGTTGTGTCCTTCTTCATATCTTTTTCCTAGTATCCCTCCTACAGAAACTTTTATTCTAGTAAAAACCTTTTAGGCCAAAAAAATACAAATCCAATAATTACATCTGAAATTTTACATCTTCTTGAAGTTTGCATAAACCAGAACTAATTTGAATTTAATAATAAAATATATACAAATAACAGTGCAGGATTTATAATGGGTAATCCTCTAAGCCCATTGCTATCAGATATTTTTATGGATCATCTAGAGACAAAGATTTCAAAACATCCCGTATTCAAACAGTTTTTATATTGGTGGAGATACGTAGACGACGTACTGGTATGTTTCACAGAAACTAACAGGCAACTCGACCAATTTTTATCGTATATTAATTTACTTCATAGTCATATTGAATTTACAATAGAAACAGAACAAAATCAATCCATAAATTTTTATATTGAATACCCATATTGACACGACTATACACAATTCGTCATCCCATCCAACACAACAAAAAACTGGCAGCTTATCATAGTATGTTACATAGATTAACAGAAATTCCGATGTCAAAATACAACTTT